TAACTTGTAATAGCCACTAGGGGCGCTACGATCGAACCCAGGAATTCCAGCCAATGTCGGCAAGGGTGGAAACTGGACTTTTAAAATCAGTTAACTCTCTTGCCTCGGAAAGATGGAAAAATTAGTTTGTTATTCGTCTTTCAAACGTTTACCTGTAGGTTTATGCTGAATGTGATGTCCCCAATTTTGTCTGACGTTCCTCGAACATGCACTAACTGTCTGTCTCAATATTGGAAAAAAGTGTTTTTTGGAGGACGGAAAATAAAATAATTCGTCCTCCACAGAAATAGTTCGGTTTTCGTTTTACGAATTTCGAATAACGATTAAGGTATAACGAACTAACTTCTATATGCCGTGACGTGTCCGTGCTGAATCTAAGTCGTCACTTTAATCTGAATGTCGGTTTCAATTTAATGTTTTTCAGAGTGAAGGGTATTTCTGGGCTGCGAGTCGCGGACGCCTCCATCATGCCGGCCCTCGTGTCAGGGAACACAAACGCCCCGTGCATTATGATTGGAGAAAAGGCGGCGGACATCATCAAAAGCAGCAAATAAGGATAATCTTGCTTCCACATTTTAGATATATCATCTATCTCTCTCTCTCTCTCTCTCTCTAATTATTGCATATCTATCTATTATAACATAAAATATGTTTATAAAACGCTTTAGTTATCGTAAACATAACATGATGTTCTTCGATGATTTATTTCAATCTGGAGTAAAAATTATAAATACTTTCCCCATAACTGTTTGTGTTCTCATTCGTGTGGATTTTCCATTAGGACAGCACAAAGAACATCTAATCTATGAGAGAATGAATTCCGTGCCGTTTCTAGCAATATATTCTATCATGACAGGCGAGCCCCAAAATGGGCTTCACACATGTGAAGAATCACAACAAGGTAAATTCTAAACCATTACGTCAAATTCACAATAGAATACATAGATTGTATGCATATAGAAGAGCACAATTTCACATACTTCTTTTAAAAAAGGTTAATGTGCCACACTAATAGCCGTTGCATTTGTATTATGCATCCACTGTCTGTGTAGAGCCTTCATGACACGATTACGATGATCTGCAATTTGATGGCCTCAACGGTCGAGACTGGTCTCTGCATGAGACTGTCTGTCAGTTCTCCATACTTTTGTTTTTCGGATTGGTGACACCATTGTTTTTTGGTTTACACCACTGGCAGTAACATTTCAGCTGTACGGTCCGGTCTGGACCAGGAAAACCAGTGATTGATATTATATACAACGTTCCACACAGGCGGGGTACATTGGCATGCAAACCATAATCCTTAATATAATACTGTGACGATGCGCTCTATATTATGTACACATCTCATCTGAAACCAATGGACATGCTTGCTCCCACCATTGATGATACCAATATTTGTTGAAATTTGAATCCAATTTGTTGTATGGAAGTCATGATTGACATATTGAAACACCGATTAAAGGCCATTTTTTTGTCATGTTTGTTCCAAATGTAATGAAAGTTGGAAAATATTAGTAGTGTGTCTTGAGATATATGTTCTGTTTTTCGCGATATATTGAAGTTTGACGTTGATCTGACCTTTGCACATTGACCATGCCTCTAATTCTTCCCAAGATCCAGTCTCTGCTCTGTGAATATACTCTTTGTAGAAACCAGTAAACCAATGAAGCTTAAACTTCACTATTTTCATCTCACCAACGATGCCCTTCATTTGCTCAAAAGGCTCGAATCCGATTTTTCATTATTGCTGCTACAGTTTTAGCCAAATTGTAAAAGACTATTTATGGCTACTGCTCAGCAATTTTTGCTCGAAATGAAACTGGTGTTCTTGCATTTTCTCACAATGCGTTTTTGGCCCTATAAGCACGCATTCCTCACATTTCCTCACTGTCGAAGCTTAACCTCGGCAGGTATGTGTCTCCTTATCATGACAACAAATTTTGTTTAACATATTTTGTTAGGATTTTAGTGCTTTTGTCGAACAATTAGAAATTGTATGGTTTTAGAAAAGCTATTCTCCTGAGAAGGCAGTCTCAGGGTTGGAACATTTGTATGGTGCAACAATGTTTCACAAATATATGTACATTCATTTCATACTTTTGTCCTCAGTATTCATGCTGGAACTATTTGAGGAGCAACGCTGACAGAAATTTTATTGAGATGCTGCCCTTGTTGACATCTTAAACTGTTGACTACATGTACATATCCATGCCAAGGCACCATATTTTGGTCAATCAGAAGGAAATTTAACTTTGGCTTATATTGGCGTGACAATACATTTTCTTGGTCGTAAAATTCATTGGATTCAATCAGGTCTGAGGCGTATTTCCTGCTGGGGTATTTGAGAAGCGTGTTAAAAACGAGGTTTGGTCCACCATCTGTTTTTCACGTGTGTTCTAACCAGAATACCGAGCATATTGCTTTGTGGTAAAAGCCCCAGATATATGTCTTGTGGTTTTGTTATTATGGACAGGACAACCCAATGACTGGAAACGTAAACAACAATCCTCACAATCACTCATGATGACCTGCAATCAGCCAAGTGGCAGAGCCTGACATTCCAGATCCAATTCAATTGCCTGTCTCCAACAGGAATGGGATGCTGGGGTCCTATTCTGAACGAGGCTAATTATTAAGTTTTCAAAGAATGATGCTTTCACTCTGACTAGTCAACCCTTACAGGATGATGTATATATATACATACCGACAAAAAATAAGGGACCTGATGAACGGATAGTGAAGGTGCAATGACGATAAATGACTGGGAGTGTAGATCAATGTGTTTTATCCTCCTCCATACACGCACAACGATGATGATTTAACATAGCGTACATTTTATTTCAACTTGAGAATACCCTTCGTCAGAACACCAACGCCGTATTCCAGCGTGATAATGACAGATTACACACAGCACGATTCACATCGCCAAACCTACACAACAACTACATTCAGGTTCCTCTCGATGAGTTGGCTGGATGGACGTGACAATGTCAACCACAGCCGCTGACTGTCGTACCTGGCACTGGCATCACGCCAGAGCACACACAGCACGGCTCCCAACGGTAGCACTACAGGTCGAGTGGGCCACCATTCCCCAAGGTAAAATTAGTACTCTCATCCCTTCCATGAACAGGAGATCGGGTTGCTCAGGATGTGCACACACGATAATGACTTCAGATGGCCTTGAAATTTGACATGCCATGTCTACATCAGCGACTTGTTTCAGCGTGGCAGCGTGTGAAACAAGTAGCGTGTGAAGCAAGAGTGCATTCAGCTGCTTAACGTTGATATATTTAATGAATGTGTGTTTGTTGTTTAAAGCCACACTCAGCAAATTCCAGTTATATGACGGTGGTCTGTAAATAATCAAATCTGGACCAGACAATCCAGTGATTGATATCATGAGCATCGACACTCGTAATTGGGATACGATGACATGCATCAACAACACGATCCCGTTAGTCGCCTCTCGAGTGTCTTAAAATTTCACGTCAGTAAGTTATACGTTTGTCATATAAAAAGATGTCAATGGTTTTAGTTTAAGTCACTTAATGATTTTGTATTTAACGCTAGTAGGAGAATATTAAGAAGATCAATGTAAAACATGACTGTTACAGACAAATGTACATAAAGCAATGTGAGTATATCCACTTTCTTAGTATATCTACTATTTGAGTTTATTCACGATTTGAGAAAATTAACTAGTGATTGATAAACACGGGCTTATGATATTGTCGGAATCGTCTAATTATATCATAAATTCGAAGGGAAGTTCTTCAAGACTAAAAAACATGAGGAATATCAACATAAGAGATTAGTTCAGATTCACCAGAATATGTCTTAAATCCACGTAAATCCATAAGTGTTCCGGCAAGATACTCTCATCTTTTTGCGAACGCATGGTAACACTAGCCGACATTGATTCATAAGCACATGCTAATGACATAGTCTCAATCGAACAATGGACTCTTAGCAGAGATTTCTTGTTTACGGTAGAGCAGTACGTGCGTACAATTTTCGCGAACACCGAGTGTCACCACTAATTCTCAGTGATCCAATCATATCAGGCCAATGGATTATGTTTCATCAGACAATCGAGACTAATTATTCTCTGGCGTTGACATGTGTATATTAGGAAAGGGTTTTATAGCTTTTATTTACACTAAATAAAAACATTGAGATGTCTTCAAATCAGGGTCAAGGAATAAGGAGCATCTGTTGAGTCACAGACTAGAGTGCATTTGTGCACAGTTAACACCGGCGCTTGTGTATTCTTGTTGTTGATTGTGACTTTGGCTTATCGTTACAGCTGCACTACTTCGGGGAAGGCTTGACGCGTGTAACATCGAGCTACCTGTTTCTTCAATACGGTAAGAAACACACAGGGCTTATTTAAATTTTCCTTGAGCAAATCATGAGATGTATGAAAAGGAAAATCTGGTTGAGAGGCATAGTCACTGAGCCAAAATGCCCTTGTCTTGTGCACGAGCGTGTCAGTCTGGTATCAGCACAAGATAAGGTCAGCCAAGGAATCCAGTTCATGCTTTAATTTGAAACACTATCTTTCGTAAACAGACTTCACGTTAAAACGTAGAAACAAATATTGTTGACAGTGCATGTATTTCCCATTGAGTTTCCTTACGTCCTAGTGGTTTGTCTGGCTGAGACAAACCGGTGACTAAAAACATAAGCAACGATCCACACCATCTAGTAAACTGACCCGCAATGAGCCAGGTCACAGGCCGATACCATCCGATTGAGTCGGTTTCCTTGTCTGGCAAGATATGGGTTTCACAGCTTCTATTCCGACCGAGGCTGCTTATTCAGTTGAATGATAACGGAGATAAATAGTATTTTTAGTTTTCATATCGACATGAAGCTTATTTTGAAGTGCTTGGCTTGCAGGAAAAGCAGAAATAATGTAGCCAATTGCAAAGGGGGAACATACTGCGCACGACCGTCTATTTTGACAGAATATTCAAAATCTGAATAAAGGACCATGGGCTTTTTAACGACGTCACTACTGATTGCCGTCAATGTTGCAATCCTTGCTATCTTCGTCGGTGTCTCCGTCTTTCCTGTTGACGACAAAGGAATTCTTTCTCCCGAACTGAGAACGACTTATGACTATATCATAGGTAACATTCATATATTCGTATATTTCTGAAGTTCATCTTCAAATGACTGCTACATTTTGTACACCATCTTTTGGTTCGTTACTGTAATATCAGAACAATTGCTGTATGATAATATAATGTTAATATTGCATTATGTAGTTCAATTGTGGCATTACTGTTTGGACGTCCTAAGCAAATGATAAATTGAAGTCTGTTTTGTGTATGGTTAACACAGTATTCTATTTCACAGTTGGGGCAGGTTCCGCAGGGACTGTTCTTGCGTCCCGTTTGTCCGAGAATGGTGACGTGACCGTCCTGCTGATCGAGGCGGGCGGTGATGACCGGAACCAGAAGACGCTGGATACTCCTCTGATGGTAGCCTTGAACCCGATGGAAACATTTGACTGGGCCTATTTGACCGAACCTCAGCAACATGCACATTCAGGACTAATAGAAAAGGCAAGGTTAACAAATACGTCTCTGATGGCACGCACCTCCCTGTTGCCCTATTTTAGTGAAAGTCGAAGTTGCAGTTTTTATCAGATCATATATTAAGATCTTCACATGCACATACAGTTGTATTCGTACATTGCATTGGTCTTTGTATCATTCGTGACTGCACATGCCCTATTTTCTTGGTTCTTGGTTTGCTGATTGAGCATGCTCTGTCTGCCATGATTTGAAAGAGCATCACACGACTGTTGTTCAGGAGTTGTTAGCTCAAGGTTACACAATTTATGGCCTCTGTAAAGCTTTCAAATGTTTTATGGTAGACATGTGTAGGGCATTTCAAAATGTGACGCACCAGTGACAAAAACTGTGATAACATTTGATATATTTTACATTGGTGTTCCAGTAGATATCATCTTAAGAGGGGAGCATGGCCGCGTGGTAGAGTCTTGGGAGGAAGCAGCCAGTTAAACTGTATGCAGTATGTCAGAGGGCATCGCCATGACTACGACAGCTGGGCAGCCAGTGGCAGTGAGGGGTGGAGTTACGAAGATGTTCTCCCGTACTTTAAAAAGTCGGAAGACATACAAATTGATAGATTAAAAAATTCAGGTAACTGTAAAAATACATTTACATTTCGCATGTCAATATTATCACCACGTGCAATGCATTGTCAGCTGAAAGCTCGTTCTAGTTGAAGGCGCTTTTAAATGTAAATTTAATGCTACTTTGAAAATAGCTTAAGGTGAGGCCCGTGATCAAGCTCGTTGACTTGGTTGATGCATGTCATCATATCCCTATTGCGTGGATCGCTGCTCATGATGTAAATCACTGGATCGTCTGGTCCAGACTCGACTATTTACAGACCGCCGTCAAATAGCTGTAATACTGCTGAGTGCGGCGTTAAACAACAAACAGACCAAACCAATCCACGGATTGTCTGGTCCAGAATCGATTATTTACAGAATGCCCTCACATAGCTGGAATATTGCTGAGTGCGGCGTGAAACAACCAACCAACAAAACAAACGTCTCTTAGGTGAAGATAGCTGACTCAATTTCGGATGCATGATCGGATGAGACAAAGAGTAAACATAAAACTAAAAGTACTCTATTCGCTGGTGTACAGTGCTGTGAAGATCAGGGGTAGAAAAGGTCTTCAGCAACCTATGCTTGTCGTAAGAGTCGACTAACGGGATCGGGGTTGGTTGATGCATGTCATCGTATCCCATTTGCGTAGATCGATGCGCATGATGTCAATCACTGGATTGTCTGGTCCAGACTCGATTATTTTACACACCACATAGCTTGAATGCTGTCGATTGCGGCATCAAATAGTAAACTAACAAACAAACAAACGTAAATAGCAGGGGAAGAGGTATTATGAGTCCTTTTTGTTTGAACTGATTGAATTTAATACCTCAAAAATCGCCGTTTCTAAATTTACGCTGCCTTTTCTTTGGTTTCCCGCTTTTCATGATAGTTGACGGTGTGTGAAACATTTTTGTTTGTAATCGACACATAACGTTTTCTTCTTATTCATCATCATTTTCAAGAATACCATGGCCGGGGAGGTCCACTGACTGTGACGGAAATGAACGCAATACCCGTCGCTGACTACTTCATCAAGGCGGGAATGGAACTCGGGTTCAAGGAAATAGACTACAACGGAGAACACCAGGAAGGCAAGTGTCTGGGCAAGGGAACATGCGTGTGCGTGTGCGTGCTTGTTTGTCTGTGTCTTCATGCGTTCGTTTTTTGTCTTTGTGCAGTCTGGCTATGTGCGTGTTTGTCAGTTTTGAGTGTCTTTGCTTGTTCCTGAAAGTCTCTGTCTTTTTCCAGCTGTAGTTTTATGTACTCTAAGCCTGCCGACCTGTCTGTCCGGGTGTCAACCTGTCAGTTGTGTGTGTATGTGTCAGTCTGTCAATTTGAGTTTCTATTTGATCTACTATTTAAATGTACGGAAGGAATCGCCTGACTCTCAACAACCTTTGAATTGCATCTGGAGCACCCTATTGATGGAATTCTGCTCATGACGGTTTTGCTTCGAGTATTTTCTTAGTCCAGTGGAAAGGCAAAGGCGCGTTGTAATACTTTGTCAATGCCAACTGTAACTGTTTCAGGATTTAGTAGATCGCAGGTTTCAATTCGTAATGGCGAACGTATGAGCACATCCAAGGCGTTCCTGTGGCCTGTGATAGACAGACCCAACCTGCACGTCCTCGCCAACAGTCACGTCACGAAGGTAGTGTACTTCACCCGTCCACATTCCTCTAGGATACGCATTCGTAGATACATCAAACATTAGATCAGTACTGAGTTTGTCCAATTGTTTTCACCAGGTAATGATAAACAAGAAGACAGCAGTTGGTGTCGAGTATGTTAAAGATGGCCGCCTGTACAGAGTTCGTGCATCAAGGGAGGTAATCTTGTCAGCTGGTGCAATTGGATCGGCACAGCTGCTGTTGCTGTCAGGGATCGGGCCAAAAAAACACTTGGAGGAGATGAAGGTGAGAAATAACTTCTCTTTATGCAATTTATGTCACAATTTAAATTAGTATATCGGACTTGCTGTTCTCTCCAGAAACATCACAGATGTAAGTTTATTAGTTTTCATCCAGTATAATGTCACAGTAAACACTGTCCTATTCATGCTATCACCGTCCGTGTATATAGTTGCTTTTATTGAGTGAATATGTTATTGAATAACTCTGCTTTTAACAATATGTTAACAATATTTGGGTAACATCATGGTAGGTTAGCATATTTTGGAAGACACTGACGGAGATCAAAAGGAGTTAGCTCAAATTGACACCGCAGACGCTGCGTGCTTAAAACAGACGTTACATTTATCCCTTGGAACATTTTCTGACAAAGCATTAGGTGATATCAAGGCCAAGGCAACCTTTCAATGATCCGAATATGACCAAACTTCAGAGATATTTATTTGTATTGTCTTAATTACATTAGTTTTAGAGTACCCTCCGTGTATGGTCAAGGGTCGCTTCATATCTGCTAAATGAAGAGACGACTGTACGATTCCTACTTTTCCCTGAGCATGTGTTTATGAATCGTTATCAAATAGTGATGATACCAGGTGTTCGTGAAAAGGTGAGCGTATACTGCCAGAAGAGAATTGATCAAGAAAAGATGTATAACGAATAACGACGTTAAAATACTGAACAGTTTTGTCACAAAGGATAAGCGTTAGACTTGAACATTGCACACTATTGCAGATTTTTAGTGTTTCAGGAACTACGGTCGAATGCAGCAAACAGTACATCTACGATCATCTAGTATAGTATCATCCATTCTGTAATGATAAATACCCTGGGCCCATTCACCACATGTCTCGGAGGTGACGTTACCACTCCTGCCCTCTGTCACTAACCTTTGAGTGTAAATTGATAGGACGGCTGCTTTTTTGCTCTTTAGCCATCTCATGGGACTGAGTTGTGTCAGATTCAATAACAATTTATTTGTTAAGTGTGAGATTTTGCTCCTTAATTTGTACCTGGAGCGTGAATAAAATACATATAAGTTCTTTAATTACTTCTTATAGAGTGACATGCCTTCGTCTTCTGTTCTAAAAGTACAAATTGACAATTCATGTTGTAGATTACTACTATTGTGTTATAGAACAAACATACAACTTATATTTCTTCCTCATTGTCCCCATGAGGATCCCGGGTTAGAATAGATCCCCAGCAATCTATGGTGGTCTTAAGAAGCGACTTACTGATTTACCGTCAACTCAAATGCACAAATACGATCAGCTTTCAGCCTCCCTTGTGTTCAACAAGTCTAACTTTCTGATTTCTAATGCCAGGGAATCAGTTACTTCCATACATTATTAGTACATATGTGCATAGGGCTACTACTTATTATACCCCCAACAAAATGTCGGGGGTATATAGTTATACCAAGGTTCCGTCCGTCCGAAACTTTGTCCGCGCGATTTCTCTTAAACTATTCAGGGGATTCATCTCAAACTTAGTACATATTATCTGTGTCATATGGAGGGGTGCAGTCAAAAGAAAACAATTGTTTTTATTAATTTTCCATTTTTTTAATGAATTTTTCAAACCCTAACGTCCGTCCGAAAACTTTGTCCGCGCGATTGCTCTTAATCTATTCATTGGATTCATCTCAAACTTAGTACATATAATAGGTGTCATAAGGAGGGGTGCAGTGAAAAGAAAAATATTGTTTTTATTAATTTTCCATTTTTTTATGAATTTTTCAAACCCTAACCCTATCCTAGTGATTTAATGTGTAACTACTGACACACTAGGCAGGTCAGGGGTATTAGTGAGCCACGCTCAGTTTTGCACTTGTTGTCTTTTCTTTACATGTGTTTCTGGCGGGTTTGTGATGGGTGTCACTGTTGGGGCCATATACGTTTACCATTCCGCGAACACATAGTATCACCACTCTTTGATGTTGATTCTTATAAACACATGCTTAGAAATTGGTCGGAATCACACAATGGACTATTAAGATATCTTATAACTAAGGAAATGGTTTTGTCGCTTGTATTTCAATGTACAGATTCCAGTTCAAGCTAGCCTCCCAGTTGGTGAAAGCTTACAGGATCACATGTTCCTCACCATGGTGTCGAAAATTCAGAAGCCTATTTCCCTCACGAAACAGAAATTAGAGTCAACCCTTGCTTTAATCAAATATCGTGCATTGAAAATAGGTAAGATATATTTCCCTGAAGGATTTATTCCAGCATATATCCCTAATATATTACCAATTAAGCAAATTTTAATGCGTATTTTCCTGTTCAGTTTAGATTCTATGTAGTCAAACTCTTTTTTTTTACGAATTCTGTATGTCTCGCACCATCACTTTGGCCCGTCTAAGGAAAGAAACTGTGATGTGGGCAATATATCCATCATAAGTAAAAGCAAGGAGACCTCTTCTATAGTCATAAGATCTTCGCTGTAATTTCAGAGATTCCAACCCACAATATCGTAAAAGTTGTAAAATGTAGACACCAAAGGCTGGAGCTACTCGGATATTGCTCAACATCAAGGGAAAGTTGACCGTTGAAAACATCCCTATTGTCATACAGTTTTGTGAATAACTTTGTTGTGTGTGACGGTTTCATTGGTCTCTTTAGTTCTATTTCAGGATGATAAATGAGTGGAGGGAATTGTGTATTTGAATATTATTGGCCCATAATTGTTGAGTTTGCCAATACGAGCAGAAATTCCGATCCATATGCTAACAGAAACAGATCAACAAGGAGGGGAGCACAGCTGGTGTCCGTGGGGATACCTCGTTTTTGACAAAACTTTTTATCTCCAAATTTCACATGGTTGCTATCAATGAAGTCAAATCCAGCATTTCATTTATTTTATTCTCAGAAGGGAAAGGTGATATGGACTGAAGTATGGTATCTTAGTCCGGTGTAGTACAAGCACGCACACGCACACGCACACGCACACGCACACGCACACGTCTGCTATTTAAGTACAATAATCTTGAAGGTATTTTTTCTGCAATTGCTAAAAGTCAAAAGCAAATCGTTTGAGTCCTTGAGAATTGATTTGATTTTCCGCTTCTATGAATAGTTCTGAGAATATAACGAAATTCCTTCCATGTTTGTATTAAGGATTATGGTTTATCTTTGACATGGAGCGATGGAGGTACATTTGCTGGACCCAGCAAAAAGGTCTCTTTGGTCAGATTTTGGAATCCTGTAAAAAGAGGAATGGGTATTTCAAAATTTGAGTAGTTGTTCAGGTCATGCTTGGCACAAATCGTAAAATACCTTTGAAGATTACCACTATTGGACCATCCTGAACCAATTACAGTCCCAGATGTTCCAGGTATGCAGTCTTTCTGGGTCACCAGACTACTTTGCTCCTTTGAAGATAGAAATGGTGTAGGTCCAGATCAATCCTTTCCGTGTTTTAAAGGAAAAGAAAAAAGTTATAAACATTATAAAATCTTATAAAAATGCAAACATATCTATTAAAAAGAGTGGCACCAAAATATTTCCATCTATTAAGAATTCGACTATGAGGAATTGAGGTATGTGATGCAATCATATTCTTATGAAAGTACTCTTTGGAAGAATCGGACGAAGTAGTTTCTTCAGCCTGGAAGTGTTTCCAGTTGCAACCTCTTTACAACTCGAGATAAACATGGTCGTCTACAAACGTGTGACGTCCAAAACATGATCGGAGGATACATTTTAAAGGCCACCATGGTGAAGTTAAAATATTGCTTACTGTCCAGCAACGTCTTTCCTTGACGGTTCCATAATCCGTGCATCGCGGCACACCTTCCCTAGAAGGTACTTGCTCAGCCACAGCTTATAACTTGCCTTTCACATTAGGTCTTTTAACATCAAGCGGCGGTCTGGAAGCCATGGCGTTTGTGAAGACGAAATCCGACGAGCCAAGTCCAGACGTTCAGTTTCACTTTGTCTGTGCTTCAATGGACAAAAGTCTGGCCCGTCTATTTAACATTGACCAAAAGGTAAGAGTGCTTTATTTCCACAGGAATCACAATATGTTCCCAGTATCCATGGGTCCAGTCTTCGGTATAAACGCCGACCAAATCGGACACAGTTATAAAGACTGTGTTGATTGAGTGTCATCGTGCCTCGATTGAGTGAATAAATGTAATTGGAACACGAGGGTCATGGGTTGTATATGTGTCAAATATAACCAAAACCTACAAAATGTGGCGTTATTTGACATACCACGTACTTTCTGCTTATCCAATTCTATAATGATACATGCATTAATGAGCTATGGACAAAAATGACATTTTTAACACGGTTGCCATGTGACCAGCTATACATATCTTTTATAATTAATTCTGTGGGCACTGTGAGATCACCGTAGCTGTGGTCATCAATGAATAGGCCTTGTGGTTTCATGGGAGATCTGACGGATGGACGGACTACACAAGCACACTGACACGACATAAACGCTCATGTTTTGAAACGTCCCTTACCTTATATAACGATCATCTACTTCTTATTTAGATAGTTGCTCATTTCAACTGGACGTATGTTAAAGAAGGTTTCACAATCTTCCCAACTTTACTCCGCCCAAAGAGCATGGGGACAATCCGCCTGAGAAGCAACAACCCGTTTGAGCATCCTATCATCGATCCCAACTACCTGTCTCATCCTGATGACGCCAAGACTTTAGTTAGAGGTGAAAATTCCAGTTATTAGGGCCTTCAAGGGCAAAGCAACTACTTTTACCAAAGTCTTATTGCGGGTAAAACAATTGCTTTTAACAGAGTCATAATTCGAGTAAACCAACTACTTTTAATGGGGAAATACTTCTGGTAAAGTAACAACTTTTACCAGGGACATTCTTTGGGTGAAGTAGCTACTTTTAACAGATACGTACTACGGGCAAAGCAACATCTTTTTTTCTTTGGATCTAGTTGAGGCAACATCATTTATGAAGGATCATGTATATTTGTACAACCAAAACTGACTTCCACCTTCAAGCATGACAGATGTAACACCCAGAACAAAGTGAACATCAGGTTTCATCATAGTAGATTTAGAAATACTGCTCACATTCTTTTACGAGTATGAATACCATTGATTTGTCAGTCAAACTGTTTTTGAACTACATATAGACAAGCTGAATTAATAACGCCTCGCTCTAAAAATATACCTTGGAATCCCAAATGGATCGGAGACATGGATCAGTATTTCAAAAACATTTCTGTTCAACAGGTGTTCGCATGGTCCAGAAACTTCATCAGACAAAGGCATTCAAGGAAATAGGAGCCCAGCTTGAAGACACACCCTTCCCGACATGCAACACTATGAAGTATGACACTGATGAATACTGGGAGTGTTACATCCGGGCACTGGCTACAACAGTCTACCATCCGACCTCCACGTGCAAGATGGGGAAACCAAGCAACCCAACTACAGTGGTGGATCCTCAACTGAGGTGGGTGAATTTGGAAAACTTCAACTATTCTATGGCGTTTGTACAAATACAATCATGTTACATTGTGTTTTCACCAATCTAAAATGATCACCAGGTCAACTACATGAATATCACCTTGAATGATTGTAGCTCTGATCACATCAGAGACCAGCAACTTTCTTGGACATTCAGCTAATTCTTTTAATCCTTTTGGGGTCGTTCCGTGCTAGACTGATGGACGTGGGTAAACTAACAAATGACTAACAAACAAAATAACAAACGTATGAGAGTTCTGTTACCAAGCTGCCTGATGAATATATACACCGAGCTGTGACTGGACAACCAGAAGTTAGTTTGTTATTCGTCTTTCAAACGTTTACCTGTAGGTTTGTTTATGTTGTATGTGATGTCCCCAATGTTGTCTGACGTTGGTCGAACATGCTCTGAATGACTGTCCCAATATTGGTAAAAGTGTATGTTGGAGGACGAAAAACAAATTTACGAATTTCGAATGACGATTAAGGTGTAACCAACTGACTTCTAGTATCCGCTGTGGCGTGTCCGTGCTGAATCTAAGTCGTTCCTTTAATCTGAATGTCGGTTTCAATAAAATATTTTGCAGAGTGAAGGGTATTGCTGGACTGCGAGTCGCGGACGCCTCCATCATGCCGGCCCTCGTGTCAGGGAACACAAACGCCCCGTGCATTATGATTGGAGAAAAGGCGGCAGACATCATCAAAAGTAGCAAATAAGGCTCAGGATAATCTTGCTTCCACATATTAGATAGATCATCTATCTCTCTCTCTCTCTCTCTAATTATTGCATATCTATCTATTTTAATGTAACATATGTTATAAAACGCTTTAGTTATCGTACACATAACATGATGTTCAATCTGATTTTTTTCAATCTGGAGTAAAAATTAAAATACTTCCCCCCCCCAAAACTGTTTGTGTTCTCATTCGTGTGGATTTCCCATTAGGACAGCACAAAGAACATCGAATCTGCGAGTGAATGAATTCTGTGCCGTTTCCAGCAATATATTCTGTCAGGACAGGAGAGACCAAAAATGGGCTTCACATGTTCACACGTGAAGAATCAAAACAAGGTATTATCACCCAATCTAAAACATTACGTCAAATTCACAACAGAATACACAATTCCACATACTTCTTTAAAAAAAACAAGTTCAAATCGGATACTCCAACCATGTGCCACAATAATAGTGGTTGGATTCGTATTGTGCATCCACTGTCTGTGTACAGCCTTCAGGACACAATTAGGGGCGGTCGGGTAGCCTAGTGGTTAAAGCTTTCGCTCCTCACGCCGAAGACCCGGGTTCGATTCCCGACATGGGTACAATGTGTGAAGCCTATTTCTGGTGTCCCCCGCCGTGATATTGCTGGAATTTTGCTAAAAGCGGCGTAAAAACAAACTCACTCACTCATGACACAATTAGGATGATCTGCCTTCCTTAATAGCCAACCGCCTCCGTGGTCTAGTGGTAGAGCGTCCGCCCGGAGAGCGGAAGATCCGGGGTTCGATCCCCGGCCGCGTCATACCAAAAGACGTTAAAAGATGGAACTTGTTGTTACCCTGTCTGGCGCTCGGCATTAAGTAGCTAAAACAAGGACTGGTCGGCTCGGGGTCAGTATACTGTGTCTGAGTGGGGTATTCATGTTAAACTGCGGCATGGTATCTCAGTGTACTAGCACTATAAATCGGCATCAGTCCGGACTAGTACAAGCAGCCACACACACACACACACACACACACACACACACACACGTCGTTATATAAGTGCAATAATCTTGGACGCGACGTTAAACCCCATTTCACCTCACCTCACCTCCTTAATAGCCGCATGCAATTTGATGGCCTCAGAGGTCGAGAAATACAGTGTTTCCGTTACTGTCAGTTGTCCACACTGACTTTTGTTCTCCCGATTGGTGACACCATTGTTTGTTGGTTTACACCACTGGCAGTAACATTCCAGCTGTACAATCGGGTCTGGACCAGGACAACCAGTGATTGATATTATATACAACGTCCCATGCTGGCAGCGTACATTGACATGCAAACCATGATCCTCAATTTAATACTGTGACGATGGGCTCTATATTCTGTACATATCGGCCCATCAGAAACCAAAGGACATGGTACATGATACCAAAATTTCTTCGAATATGAATCTCATTTGTAGTATGGAAGCCACGATTGACAGACCCGTGAAAATCTGGGGTAGAAAAGGTCTTCAGCAACCCTTGCTTGCCGTAAAAGGCGACTATGCTTGTCGTAAAAGGCGACTAAAAGGGTCGGGTGGTTAGGCTCGTTGACTTGGTTGCTGCATGTCATCGGTCCAAATTGCGTGGATCGATGCTCATGATGTCAATCACTGGATTGTCTTGTCCAGACTCGATTATTTTCAGACGGCCGTCATATAGCTGGAATATTGCTGAGTGCGGCGTTAAACAACAAACATATTGAAACACCGATTAAGGCCATTATTTAGTCATGTTTGTTCCAAATGTAATGAAAGTCGGAAAATGTTTAGTAAGTAGTGTGTCTTAAGATATATGTTCTTTATATTAAAGTTTGACATTGATCTGCCCTTTGCACATTGACCATGCCTCTAATTCTTCTCAAAATCCAGTCACTGCTCCGTGAATTTACCAGTAGACCAATGAATCTTAAACTTCACTCTTTTTTCATCTTATCAACGATGCCCTTCATTTGCTCAAAAGGCCCGAATCCGGGTTTTCATTATTGCTGCAACATCTCCGACTAGTTTCAACTGTGGTAGCATGCATGTGCCACATGTGTGCATTCAGATATATTTAATGAATGTTTGTTTATTTGTTTGTTTGTTGCCCAACGCCATACTCAGCAAATTCCAGCTATATGACGGTGGCCTGTAAATAATCGAATCTGGACCAGGCAATCCAGTGATTGATATCACGAGCGTCGATCCTCGCAATTGGGATACGATGACATGCATAAAACAAGTCAGCGAGCCTGACCACCCGATCCCGTTAGTCGCCTCTTATGACCAGCTTAGTCGCCTTTTATGGCAAGCATGGGTTGCTGAAGACCTATTCTACCCCAGATGTTCACGGTTGAAACCCATACAGGATGATATATATATATATACATAATACCGACAAAAAATAAGGGAACTGATGAATGGACAGTGAAGGTGCAATGACGATAAATGTCTGGGAGTGTAGATCAATATATTGTCTCTCCTCTCGATACACGCACGACGATGATGATTTAACATAGAGTACATTTTATTTCAACTTGAGAATACCCTTCGTCAGAACTCTAAGGCTGCATTCCAGCTTGATAATGTCGGATAACACACAGCAGGACTCACAACAGCAAACCGACACAACAACTATATTCCGGTTCCTCTCGATGAGTTGGCTGGATGGACGTGACAATGTCTACCTTAGCCGCAGACTGTCGTACCTGGTTCTGGCATCACGCCAGAGCACACACAGCACGGCTCACAGGCCGAGTGGGCCACCATTCCCCAAGGTCAGATTAGTACTCTCATCCCTTCCATTGACAGGAGATCGGGTCGTGCACACACGCTAATGATTTCAGATGGCCTTGAAATTTGACATGCTATGTCTACATCTGCGACTAGTTTCAACTGTGGTAGCATGTGCCACATGTGTGCATTCAGATATATTTATACTATATACTCAGCAACTTCCAGCTATATGCCGGTGGCCTGTAAATAATCGAATCTGGACCAGGCAATCCAGTGATGGATATCATGTTGATGGTATCAGATTGTGTCACTTAACGACTTTGTATTTAAAGCTAGTAGGAGAATATTAAGAAGATCAATGTAAAACATTTCTGTTACAAAGAAAAAGAAAAGCAATGGGTAAATATCCACTATTTTAGTACATTCACCTTTTTAGTAAATTCACAAGTGATTGATAAACACGGGCTTATGATATTGTCGGAATCGTCCAATTATATTATACATTCGAAGGGAAGTTCTACAAGACTAATAGAACAGGAGGAATATCAACATTAAAGATTAGTTCAGATTCACCAGAGTATATGTTCGTACATCTAGTAAATCCATAAGTGACGCTGTTCCGGCCAGATACGCTCATCTTTTTTCTCGAACACATGGTAACATCACTAGCCGATATTGATTCATAAGCACACGCTAATGACAAAGTCGCAATCGAACAATGGACTCTTAGCAGAGCTTTCTTCCTTCCTGTAGGACAGTACGTGCTTACACTTTTCGCGAAATCCGGGTGTCATCATGAACTTCAGCGTACCCCTTTAAGGCCAATGTATTATGTTTCATCAGATACTCGAGACTGATTATTCTCTGGCGTTGACATTTGTATATTGGGAAAGGGTTTTATAGCTTTTATTTACACTAGGAGATGTCTTCAAATCTGGGTCAAGGAATAAGGTGCATCTGTTGAGTCACAGAGTAAAGTGCATTCGTGAAAGTCAACACAGTATTCTTGTTGTTGATTGTGACTTTGGCTTATCGACACAACTCCACTTCTTCGGCGAAGGCTTGACGTGTGTAACATCGAGCTAGCGGTAAGAAACACACGGGGCTTATTTAAATTTTCCCTGAGCAAATCATGACCATTTCAACATATGTTTTAGAAAATAATAGCAAAAACGGCTGAGGTGTATCGTATTTATACGAATAGAACAAACTGAGGGTGGAGTGTATTTAAAGTGTATTTATTCGAATATGTATATTCGTTTACAAGTTATATGAAAAGGAAAATCTTGTTGAGAGGCATAGTCACTGCGCCAAAATGCCCTCGTCTTGTGGCACGAGCGTGTCAGTCTGGTATCAGCACAAAACAGGGTCAGCGAAGGAATCCAGTTGATGCATTGATTGGAAACACTATCTTTCGTAAAGAGCCTTTACGATTAAACGTAAAAACAAATAATGTTGACAGTGCATGTATTTCCCATTGAGTTGCCATAAGTCCCAGTGCTTTGTCTGGCTGAGACAAACCGGTGAATATACACATGAAAACGATCCACACCATCAAACAAACTGACCAGCACTGAATCAGGTCACAGGCGTATACAATCCGATTATTTCAGTTTCCTGGTCCAGCAAGATATAGGTGTGAAAGCTTCTATTCCAACCGAGGCTGATTGTTCAGTTGAATCATAACGGGGATAAATAGTATTTTTAGTTTGCATATAGACATGGATTTTGAAGTGCATGGCTTGTAGGAAAAGCAGAAATAATGTAGCCAATTGTGAAGATTGAACATATTGCACATTGTCAGTTTGACAGAATATTCAAAATCCGAATAAGGGATCATGGGCTTTTCAACGACGTCACTGCTGCTTGTCGTCAATGTTGCAATCCTCGCTATCTTCGTCGGTGTCTCCGTCTTTCCTGTTGACGACAAAGGAATTCTTTCTCCCGAACTGAGAACGACTTATGACTATATAATAGGTAATATTCATATCTTCGAATATTTCTGAAGTTCATCTTCAAATGACTGCTACATTTTGTTCAGCGTCTTTTGGGTCGTTACTGTAATGTAAAAACAAATTCTGTCTGATAATATTATGTGAGTATTGCATTATGTAGTTTAATTGGGGCATTACTGTTAGGACGACCACAGCAAATGATTAAGTGTGATATGTTGTGTATGGTTAAAACAGTATTCTATTTCACAGTTGGGGCAGGGTCCGCAGGGGCTGTTCTAGCGTCCCGTCTGTCCGAGAATGGTGACGTGACCGTCCTGCTGATCGAGGCTGGCGGTGATGAC